GAATCCTCGGGAGGTTACTAGACTTCCGTATTCTTTTATATATAAGACGGTCAAGACGTGACGGCAACAATGTAATGAATGGGTAATTGAACTGCGGACATATTGTTGAGTCGAGCACGTGAGGCGTTGGTTGTGAATTATAGCGTTTGTTATAGCGTGACTGTGAAAATTAAGTGTATTGCAAAGTTGTATTCAGAAAGAATAAACCAGTTTTATATAAGAAAGGACTTGTGTCACTAAAGTTTCATCGGAAAGAATTTTTACGGAAAATTATCTAACGAACGAAGATGTAACATTACTCTATCGACTTTCTTAAGTTGTTACTTTGCAGCTGGTTTGTTTACTACTCAACAGCATGTGTAAAGTGCTTGTAAACTTTTGCAGTGTGTTGGAGATTTTAATTTATATTACACATATTGCACATCTTGCAAATTCCTACTATAAGTACTACTGTACTTATGATAATTCTAATTAAATGGTCAATTAGTACAAATTAATAGAGCTAAAAGTATAACAAGTTGTAGATCATTATACTCTATTTACTTTTGTTTTTCCGTTTTGCATATTCTATTATGCACTCTTATTCTTAAAAAAGCCCCAAAGGACCTAATATTAATGTCTTATGGTAGGTATAATTAATCGACACAATTGTTGTGGTGTTGAAAATCTTTTGCTGATGAAGCGGGATTATAATCAACTTTACTAGTCATAGAACAATAGTAAAAGCTGATTGTATGTTTAAACATTACATTCGCACTTGGGTCCCTTAGGGTTTTTCCAACGTCTCACAAAATAATACATTTTTATTTTCCCTTCTCTAATCATCTAACCACTTCTAGAAGGCAGGTGCATAATTACATGTTCCACGTTCATTTATAAATATAGGAAACTGCAAACCTTACAAAAAAAAGAGTAGTAAATATCATCTTTAGGTTTTCCTCTTACTCCATTTCTCTGGCCATTTTCAGATATATCTAATCTTTCAACTATAAGAAATTGATTCGCTACTTTAGCTACTGACTACATCCACAAAGCCACTGCTAAAAATCCTTTAAATGATTAAGCTTTCGCCTTAGCTTCTACACCCTCTTCGTGGCCAAACTACAGCTTTCAATATAACGCCCTTAACCTCCTAGATTTTCCTACCCACCTCAACTCAACATACGTTTTTCATTCTTTATCCCTAAAACTTATTATTACCGTAGTCTAATTTATTTTATTCACATAGCGAGGTTATGAGCGATGACCTTCATCTTTGACCATCCCTGATCGCATACCTGAATCTCTGTGAGTGAGAGAGAGAGAAAAAAAACGCGTTTGAATTTTACTGATAAGCACACGCGCAAACGCAATGTAAATAATAAGCCAGAACTTTACTCCTACCTTTGTCTATTGTACAGAAAAGGTTGTAGTATTGACTGATAACGTATTTTGAAACCTTGTGAAAGCGTTTTATGAAGATTTCGTGTTCATTAATTGTAGAAACAGGAATTTAGCTTTGCGTGATATATCTAAAATGTGTGATGTGACACGAATATACGTATTGCTCTCACTAGTTGGATTTGGTAAGTAGAAGTGTTATCGACTTCTTGATTGGTTAGTAAACTTTACATTTACCAAGTTTTTCGCAAAGACAATTAGTTCAGAGTAAGCAACTGTATATTTCACAATTCCATTCAAAGTAACCATAGTCTTTAGGGCGATGGCGCAATTATAAGATTCATAAACTCATTACTAATGTTAAAACTACAGGGTGTTTGTCAGAGTGAGAAATTTTAAATGTTTATTTTTCGTCTGAGCAATATTCTTGATATAGCACACTTAATTCATATTCATTGTGATTAAAACAATAGGCTCTTACATTGTTAATCTCGGTACCACCAAGTTTCCATCTTTATTCTTTCTAATTAGAAACGTAGCAAGACGAAAATGAACTATTCTTTCGTACTCAGAGTTACAAATAATTATGAGAAATTTCCTTACAATTATTGTAGGCAAATTAAAGTATTTTAGAACACTAAAGTTTGATCTCATTTTCACCATAAAGACAGGCATTACTGGACAATGCTCAGATTAGTTATTTACAATAACTTAACATCACATAAAATAATCTTCCAGAGTTGTTATAGTTTAGGTATTTTTTAAATACAAAATAACACCTATCAGCTTTAATCAAATAAATTCGATGAATTAAAAATAAATCATATCAAATAATGTCGCTTTTAATACTAATTGTAAGAGTACAATATGGCTGCATTCAAAATGATCTTTGGAATTATCTCTCCTAAACTGACTTGTTTACAGACGCCGAAAATACTCCTTGAGGCTGCAATACGTACTAGTAAATTAGTTTAACTTAGTGTTTAAAAGTTGTTAATGCAAATTTTAATAGAATAACTATTCATACAGAAGCAATACAATTGAACGTCTGGGGATATGGCGAAGATCGACTAGGGTCTACAAAAATTTGGTTATTATTTCTGTATTTGTAAACACTATATTATTTATTCGGTTCATTATGGGTTAATTCCGAGAATAAGAGTGAGTAACCCCTATTTCAGCCACACTGTGTTCCCCATATTCATTGCTGGGGACGCATTTCCCTCAGTATCATTCTAACAATAGGCTTAAATTAAATACATAGAATTCCGACCTCTGTTATATTTATTGCATGCTAGCCAACCTGATGAGCTTTGGTATTGAACAAAACGTGTCGTCAGCAGTAGATATGGCAGCATGGTGTGTTTGAAGTACTATTATACACAGGGGCGCATTTAGGATATGTGGGGACCTGGGCCGGATGGGACTGTGGGGCGGCTAGGACCCCGAGCCCTATACAACGTATTGTGTTTTGTGATTTTTGGGGTTGCATCTTCCAACTACTCTTCACAGCCCAGCAATAAAAAATTAAAATAATTCTAAAATCTGTCAATATTTTACTCAAAACAAAATTCTATTCATTTTCTACACAAAAATCACAGGTTTCGCGTATTTTAACTATTGTGTTGGCGCACTATCTTTTGTTGCTGCGACTATGTATTATTATTTTGTTAGCGTTAATGCAAATAGTGGTTAGTGTTAAACTGTCCTCTTCATTTTAAATAAATAAAATTTTCTAATTTTTTTATTTATTTTTTTTTCTGTGCAAATTTATTTTCATTACACCTGTGGGGCTCTGTGGCGCGGTGACTTGGGCCATGGCCTAGTTGCCCCACCCCCCAAATTCGGCCCTGATTATATACTATTCATTTCGGATAAACCCTAAGGAACAGAATAAAGAATGTAGTGTTTAAAAATACAAGAAGCTTAACAGTATTGTCGTATGACAAATGTAATTCTTCATATAAGATTGTTATATATGGTCACCTCTGTTATATGGCTGTGAAACATGGACCTTGACAAAAGCATTGATTTACGCTGGAAGCATTTGAGATGTGGGTGTACAGAAATATGATGAAAATATCCTGGAGAGTTTGTTTGTTTGTAATTAAGCACAAAGGGGGGCATGAATATTATTTCTCGATATAAACTTTTAGAACACAGTAATTCCACTGTCAGTACCTTTTTCGTCACTTTAAGCTTAACAACTTTATAATACACGCTATAAACCACAGCGATCCACATTCTCATTAACTTCGCCCGAAACTTGCCGTGATTACTGTTCGCTTTATCACACATTCAATTCCCGCTGGCTTTTCTCGCCAGGCTTATATACTAAAGAAGAGGGCGTCTCGAACGCACAAGGACTCCCCCGAAAATCCATGATCATTAGAAATTTCACACACGCTACCTGCGCCAAACGCGCCAGCAGCGTCACGTGACTTCCGCTGTCGTAACAATATGTTGTACCAGCCATCAAGAAGATAAAAGTAGCATATGTTGCCTTGATGATGAGACGAGACAACATCCAGCGAGTCCTACTAGAGGGTCAAATAGAAGGGAAAATATACAGTGGAAGACCAACAGTAGAGTGGATAACAAATATTAAAGTTTATTTGTTTGTTTGTAATTAAGCACAAAGCTACACAATGGGCTATCTGTGCTCTGCCCACCATGGGTATTGAAATCCGGTTTCTAGCGTTGTAAGTTCGCAGACATATAGAACACATGTTTATAGTAGCAGATTCTCGTTGAAAGAATTTAGTGGTCATTTCCCCAAAATTGCAACGAATAAATAAAAAATGTGCAGTTAACCCAATCTCTTGGATTATAGTGTATATGGAATATGATTGGTTAATGAGCCGTTTACGACCGTCTGTTGTCATCCCATGTGTTATTTTAATAAAAAAAAATGCATTGCGTTTATTGTTAAGCCAAGATGACTGGATACAATGCATTCTTGGCAAAAATGTTTGAATTTCGATGCAATGGATTCAACACAAGAGAGCGCTCAGCTTCACTAAGTAGCCATAGGGATTTTCCCCATGGATACCACAATTTCATGTAATTTCACTGAGTTCAAGAAAATACCACTACCGATGAGAGCACTTTTTGATAGCTGTCATTTCTATAAGAAATGTCAAGGAGGAGATATTCAATTCAATTCAATTTATTCAACATGTTACAATATAATCATGCATGTATATGATACCGTCATGAACATGTATATATATATATATATATATATT